AAAAAAATTCAGGCCTGTACGGGATTCGAACCACTGACCTCTGCGATACTAGTGCAGCGCCCTACCAATTGAGCTAACAAGCCAACTGGGAGCAGGCCATCAAATTAATTCGACATAAACCCGTAGATGATAAATCAAACAACAAACATATGAAATACATATATATGAACTGCGGTTATGAAACGTATATGTGCACGATCCTTCGCAGTAAAGCACTATTTAAGCAATAGTGAAAATCAGACCTGAAAAAAAATTCAGGCCTGTACGGGATTCGAACCACTGACCTCTGCGATACTAGTGCAGCGCTCTACCAATTGAGCTAACAAGCCAACTGGGAGCAGGCCATCAAATTAATTCGACATAAACCCGTAGATGATAAATCAAACAACAAACATATGAAATACATATATATGAACTGCGGTTATGAAACGTATATGTGCACGATCCTTCGCAGTAAAGCACTATTTAAGCAATAGTGAAAATCAGACCTGAAAAAAAATTCAGGCCTGTACGGGATTCGAACCACTGACCTCTGCGATACTAGTGCAGCGCTCTACCAATTGAGCTAACAAGCCAACTGGGAGCAGGTCGTTAAGTTGATTCGTAATAAACCCGTAATGATAAATCAGATACAATGAATATATGAAGTTCATATATTTTGAACTGCGGTATTAGATACGTATGATGCACGATCCTCGCAGTAGAGAGCGCTATTTATGCATAAGCGAATATCAGACCTGAAAAAAAATCAGGCCTGTACGGGATTCGAACCACTGACCACTGCGATACTGAGTGCAGCGCTCTACCCGCAATTGAGCTAACAAGCCAACTGGGAGCAGGCCGTTAATTTGATTCGTAATAAACCTGTGATGACAAATCATTGCATAAATAGCACTCTCTACTGCGAGGATCGTGCATCATACGTATCTAATACCGCAGTTCAAAATATATGAACTTCATATATTCATTGTAACCAAACAGGTTATTAATATTAGCTCTCGGCAGGAGCCCCCTGCTCTCGGTTGCTCTTTTTCTTGACAAAAAAGGTACATTTCCAGACGAGATCAAATCAAAATAAAAAGGATTTCATTAAGACAAAAAATTCTTTTGATCAAGTTTTCCTGACTAATTTTAGCAAAGTCACTGTAGAAACAGCCTCTTCTTCGGTCGGCCAGTTATCACTTGACGGTTGAAAAGGTGGCTACAATGTATTTAATGATATGTCATGTCTTTCTGCTTATATCTTACACCAATTTAAGGGAGTTTTTTAGTGTTTATTAGTATGTTCTATATACGGTTCCCTAATCAAGTGAGCAAGTTGAGTTTTAAAAATTGACCCGAATTAGAGCCGTAACACAAGTGTAACTGTCATCCGTGGAAAATGAGACCAATTCAAATATAAAGCGAATATACTTTTTGTAATAGAGATTTGTTAACCTATCAAGTGTCAGTGTAAAAACTGTCGAATTGCTGGAAAATTGTTGATGAGGCAATATTGACTCTCTGTCAATATTGCCTCATATTGACAGAGGCAATATTGCCTCTGTCGAATAACCTGTTTGTTATTTGTTGAATAACCTGTTTGCAAGAAGAGCACGGAATGAAAGTAACGTATTAAGGTCTTATCTACACATACTTTTGTTTATATACGACAGACACCATACCAAGGGGGTAGGCGATGTTTTGGAGAATACAATTGTCCTGAGTGTAACCGCGGGTGGATGAGCGCCAACAGTTGGGCCAACACTGGTCAGCAGTGTCAGAATTGTAACATTGTGGTGTACCCTCACACGCAGCGTCCGCTTCATAAACCTGACGGGCTGGACAAGGGGGATATCACTAAGCACCACCCTCAGCACTTGTGTGAAAAATGCAAAAGACTCGGTCACTTCTGTGGGGATCGTGACCGTTACCACTGAAGAGCTGTAGCCTGGGCGCACTCCTTGATTTATCATAATTTCTGGACGACATGCATCAACTGATTTTCAAATGACAACGATGAAACTCTTGAATTTCTCTCAAATTTAAAAACGCTTGACTTAAACATTCGGAAGTTGATTGGATTCTTTTAAAACATTTAAACAGTACAGGGTCGTTCACTATAAAATTTTAAAGAATACTGGTAATTACGTTGAATTGACAGTTTAATATTATTTTAGAATTTTTTCTGGGAGTTTTTAGTAAATAACGTATTTATTTCAGTGGAATAGTGGTCAGTTATTGTAGGACCGCATTTACTATTGAGAAAGTGTAAGAGCTACTCAAAAATAAGGTCAAATAAGGCTTCCAATCCATCGGATGTCGTCCTGTGCCCAAGTTTAGAAACATTCTGTACGATTAACAATAATTACTGATACCTAATTCCCTAAAATATTTCGTCACTGAATACTTCGGAGTGCCTAGTGGTGCAAAAGTGAACCCATTGTCTCATTTTGTTCGCAGCACATTGATACTAGAGAAAACTGTTCTGCTTTAGCTATCCGTTTTCCTTAGTCGATTTCAATCGACCTCCACTAGATGCATACGCCTTCATTTTCTCTGTATTGTCCAATACGTGAAGACTTTAAACGAGCATTAAACAACGATTTCAATCATTTTCAAGAATGAATCTAAGATCTGGAAGTTAATTCCACGGTGTGTTGGGGCAAAACCGTTTCTTCTTGTGTAAGAACAGTAGTCAGAATATGTTGTTTTAGCTTCTGGAACAAGAAGCGGCCTGCGAGACCATGTTGATATCCATTCATTGAAAGGCAAAATGTTTTCGTAATAGATACTCAAACTTTGTCTCATCATTTTCCTAATAAACAAAGGTATAGACATAATAATCGTTCTTTCCTCTTGATCATAAATCGTAATACTTATAATAACCTTTTGTAATTTATAAAAGTAACCCAACACTTCCCACTAGATAAGCACGTGCAGTTTTGCGGTGTAATGCAAATATATTGTAGAGATTTTTTTATTTAAAATCAAATAGAGAAAAAAAAACCAAACAGTTTTGGAAGATGAGGATGATGACACTGCACATGAAACTCAACCGGCTGACTTTTCGTGTTGGAGTTGTCTCATTTTTTTCAGATCTAGAGGTGCATAGGAGGTGGGACGGATAAAGAGGGAGAGACTACGAAAACAAAAAAAAAACACGGCTCAGTGAGAATTCTTCGACTCAGGACCTTCTTTGTTCACCTCTGTCCATGCCGCCCTTTAGATTGCATGCCATTTCATACATACCGTTCGTCTTTGTTGAATGCCTTCCCCTCTTCCGGCAGGCAAATGAGAGACCGCACTAGAAACGGGCTACCAATTGCAGCTGAAGTATTGTTTATAGTTATTTGGTTGAATCTTTTCTTGGTGCTTCCTATCAGTAAGGTATGAACAGATCACCTCGGCCTGGTCAAAGTGGGGAAAGACACACAGAAACGAAAGAACTACCCATGTAATTGGCCATGCACCTGTCAAAAAATTTTCAAGTTCAACCATAAATCGTACAAGGCTTTTGGGTTTTCCCCAAACAGTTAGAAAATCACTTGTCAGTCTCGTGTAATGCAGTAACTTACTTCGAACTCGTAGAAGATGGAGTACAGGCTAGTTTATAACTGATTTAGTGACCATTTCGTTTGCCTGAAAGATAATAAAGTTCGACAATTGAACAGATGTGCTACAATCAACAATAAAAAATAGATTGTTAGAAATAAATCGGATTTTCACGATACATATCCATGTGCCTCTGCTTAGCTAGTCAGATTTCACGAAAAAAAAACTGTTAAATAATTATAATCTCGCAACAGTTTTGGAGGAGGGGACGCCATTTTTACGGCAGGAAAACTGCTGAAACTGAATGTGGACAAAAACTGACGCCGAAAAAGGAACAGGCATTTCTTCATAAGTTCTATTAGTAAAAAAAAAACAAAACTCATCGGCCAGTTGTTAAAAAGGCGTTGTTGTGCCGCCCCTTTATAACGCAGGGATTCATTCTTTTTATAACAAGTCGATTAGGATTTTCATCTAAAAGTATGAACATAAATATCAGCCACCCCTCTCTGCCCGTCTATCCTCTCACTACCCTACTAAGGATGGGACAAAGGTTATGACAATCACATGACTTCCTGTTTCGCGAGGATTAGTTCCCAACATGGCGGACTGTGTCGAATTTCTTCGAAGGTTTCTTTTATTTTTTGTAGCCTTTTTTTGTTTATCATTAGCGACTGTGCCTCAGGATCAGCAAAGAAAGGTAACATAGGCATAAACTGCAACTTTACTTTGTTCTAGATAGTGTTTTGAAACATACTAGTCCTGAATCGACGAAGGCTTGCATTTGCTTTGTTGTTCATATTTTCCTAGATGATATGCCAGAAGTCCTTCTTTAGATAAATAGACAAGCATTTTACACAAACGTTTAAATACGAATCATCTGAATCCCAGAGTTGGGGCATGAAATGGGGCACAGTTTGACAATATTACATGCAAATTGTAACTCCTAACGGTCTTACTTGTACATGTTAGCCAATTTTCAAAAGAAACTTTAAAATTATGCAAAATCAGTCGAGAAAAAACAGACTATACACACAAGTGACAAAGCTGATAGGCAGGAGTTATGTTTAAAAGATGAAGTCACCCTTAACCCTTTAACTCCCAAGATCTGATCGTTGATTCTCCTTGCAAGTGTCTACACGTTTCCTTGTATATTGGTTACAAGAATTTGGAGTTAGATCTACTTGATAAGTTGAGTCTCCCTGTTTGCTGGGTAGAGTATGACCATTATAGGAGAATTTACAGGTAAATCACTTCTGGGAGGTAAGGGCTAATTTTTTATTAAAATTACCAAGAAAAGTTAATGTGTACTGACAGCAGGAAGAAATGTGCAAGGCAGAATAATGTTTTTACAATCAACTGTTTCTGTCTTTTTGTATTCTCATTATGTCTCTTTTGTATTCTATAATTTCTTCATTTTTTGCAGATTACCATCAAAAGCATATCGTGTCCAAAAAATATAACAGGGTGCAATAACACAACATACATTATTCATGTTATCGCCGAGAGTGCAGATGAGAAGAATTCTATGCACTATCTCTGGTCTGTCATTGGCTCTCCAACAATTGTTGCAGCTTACTTTGACACTACAGATGTTAATGTATCAATTGATTGGAATCAGGTCTTGATTAACAGCTCCACAAAGGGAATTATGTTTACGCGACCAAGTCTTTACATCACTGCACTTGTTATTCCAGCTATTTATGAATTTCAGGATAAAAAAGATGAACTATATTACACTGAGAAAGATATTGGCAAAATTGTAAAACATGGCTTCAAGGAGGAGGTAACACAGTGGGAAGAACCCAAAGTCGATCACAAAAACAATGTGACGACTTTTAGAGGGAAAATGTTGGGAGGAACAGTTATTTTCCAGGTAATAGATGATAGTAATAATTATAGTTAATAGTAAAGATAATAGTAATAATAATGATCAATGTAGGTATCTGAGCAACTGGGTACTTACCCCTCCCCTAACCAAACATCATCCCTAACTCGTTATCAGTTGACTTAAGTCTGGTCAGGGGTGTGCAGTTGCTCACTGTAATGACCAATTTAGAATTTCTTCTTGTCATATTAGTACAATTATATTAAATAGACAAGAAATGAGAATCAAGAAAGATATGAACTAGGGGATTAATAGATGATCCAATTTACTGAATTCTCCAAGCTAACATTATAAGGCCTGGAAATGGGCACAGGCCTACCTTTTACCCGTGTTGCTGTCTTGACAGCACCTTCCCTCCTTCACTACTACTGAATTAAAAACTAATCAACTTTTATTTTTGTTTCTACAGTGCAATGCATCAGCAATTAATGACAGAGAGTCAAAATTGCCTCATGAACAATTTTCCAGCAATTCGACAGTTTTTACACTGACACTTGATAGGTTAACAAATCTAGATTACAAAAAGTATATTCGCTTTATATTTGAATTGGTCTCATTTTCCATGGATGACAGTTAAACTTGTGTTACGGCTCAAAAATCTCTTGATGATGAACACACTCCAGCTGTTTTTAAAACCATTGTCATCAACAGTACGCTTAGCAGTCGTTCATCATATAGTGCATGGAAACCTGTGGCCTACCTGAAAGAGTCAAGGAAACTTAGTAACCAAATCCCTTCTTTTTCATATTTCGGCAATGAGCATCGTTTTATCACTCAACATTGTGACTCTCTCCCTTCATCATCCTCTACTAAAGACTTCATTAGCATAGTTCCACATCTGCTTGGAAGAAAGTACGTAACAACTCGAATGAATATTTCATTTGGACAACGAAAAGATGGCTGGTATGAAGGTTCCAAATATCTCACATGGTAATCCAATTGATTTACTGTACAGTTATTATTATTGATATTGTTATTTTTTGTAAGTGCTTTATTGTCACTCTGTGACATCATATACAACTATGATATGGTCACCCCAGTAACTGAGAAAAACCTCCAGATAAAGGCATTGTTTTGTTCACATGAAATGCATTCCCTCCTAGCTTTATGATGTTTTCTTTCCAGTTTGTAAGCATCTGTTGATATTTCCAGATGTGATAAGCCATTTGCCAGTTTCACAATCTTCACTTCCATAATTATGCCATTTGTAAAACCTTTCTATGATAACAAGTTTTGACTCCATAAGAAAAATATCATTTTAACAAGGGCCTGTAACAAATGGTCCATTTCATCAAAAAAAAAAAACGTATGTTGGAAGGTTATATGTTTGAACCTACATTAAGGTGTACTGTGTTAAGCAGTAGGTTGTTAAAATCTTAAAATTTTCCCCCTTATGTACTGTAATTTTCACTTCCATCAAACAGTCACCTGTATTAGGCAGTCATGTTCAACCTTGACTGAGTCCCAATGACCTGTTTGTATATTCTTCCACCTGTTTTAAACTGTCACTTAAAACCAGAGCTAGTCACATGAACTAAGAATTATCTGTCAAGTCAAATTTATTCCATGTTTATCTCCTAAAATCAATGTTAGCACTTTGAGCTCAATGTTCTTAATGTTTCAGATTGCAGATTATCTTTTTTCTTAAGAACGTTAGGACAAATGGTGTTTTCTATTGCATTTGACTGCTATTCTGAGGAACCTGTATTAAGTGGTCAAACTGTATTAAGCAGTCAACCCTTAGTAAGTGGTTACCCTGACAATCCCCATGGGTGGCAGATTGGACCATATTTAGTTTTAAGTACATATAAATATTAAGTAAATTTCATTAAAAAGCTGTGTGGAGTTTAGTGACATCATACAGTACATTTAGATACTAATTCCCTCCAAGTAGTCTGGTAATCTAGAACCTGATTATTCTACATCCTGGTTGTTCATTGGTTTTTATATTTTTTTTAGGTCTGCAATGGTTGGCTATGGAACTCCAATCAAAGATGAGTTTTCTACACTTGTGTGGTTGATTATATTCATTGGCTTTGGCACTCCCATGCTTCTTATTTTTATCACCATAATATACATAATTATCAAGAAGGTCAAAGCTAAGAAAGAAACATCCACATACGGCATAATCAACTGACAACAATAATTATGTTTTTAAAAGGTGTGAAATTCTTATGCATACCGTATGAATAATGGCATATATATCTTTTACATCCCAAGAGTGACCAGCATCTAATTTCTTGTTACAGTAATACTGCAGAATCATTCATTACGATCACGAGAATAAAGAAAGTCATTGCCAACCTAAGAAGCTTTGATTGTTACATAAATTCTCCTTGCCAGTACCAAAGAAATTGTATAGAGAACAGTATGGAGAATATGCATACTGATATTAGGATGCAAAGGGTCCAGTTGTTATATAATTATGCTGAGCTGCTAAATATGATTCAAGTCTTTTTTGTAATGTGTGCAGTTGTTTTCTGAGTGTCGAAGTACTGGTACTTACCAGTTCTGTAAGGTCATAATTTTCAGTGTTAAGATCCAGGAACTGCTGTACAAAATTAAACAGGATTGGTTTTAGTATGCATTCCTTACGTGAATATGGGAAAAGCCATACCAGTGCTTGGTTTTGTTTATTGTTTTTTCTAAAAGTACAATAATAGATATGAATTGTATGAAAATGGAATATCTTCTAAAACTGTCCACCCTAATTTGTGGTGGTATGAACAAGAGGGAATATTATCAACAGTTCTTTGAAGTCTCATCATCTAAACAACATTACTACCATAGCATTTTTTTAAGTCCAAGTATGAGTTGGAAGTTTGAGCAGCCTCCGTAGCTGGTAGTTTTCTTTAAAATTCTTATTTTAATTCAAACTTTAATTTTGAATAATCCAACTTCATAGTGGCAGGGTACTTTAAGAGTTAAGGATAATTATTCATGGAATGTGAACCTTGGTTGGCTGCTTTAAATGACGTTACATTGTTGCTATCTCACAATATTAACAGCTGAGGCAACCTTCAAGAAAGATTTTCTTTGCCTGCAGTGTTGTACATGCCATTTACACCGGTATGCTTACTTTACACCTGTACATGCCAGGGATATTAAAAAAAAAAACACATGCTGGAAAAAAGAAGAGTTTTCTCATTTTTGAAGTTTAAAATATGAAGTCCACTCTCTTTTGTCGAGGCAAGATTAAGGCCATTGTCATAAAATGATGAAGTACAGCAATGTAAAGTTGATATATTTATTGATGATTATTTTTCGTGTATCTTACTGAATAGTTTGTACTCTTTCTTTATATAAATAAACTTAGCATGAACAAATTAGCAGGTAGTTGCCTTTTAATATGTTAAATTAGGGGATGTAATGAAACTAATACCTACAAAAATGTTACGGTGATTCAACACTTTAACCCCATCCTTAAGAGACTCACAGCAAGTCTCACTAGAAGCTGTCTTTAGACCAAGTCACAGACAACACGAGTTTACCTACGAGCCTTTCTACGCTTTGTAGTACTGATCTGACCAGACGGTGTCATAAGAAAGTCTCTTTAAAATTTATAATTTGAGTTGACCTTTGCTTATGGATTCTCAAATTCTAAAAGATAGTGCAAGTGGTCATGGTATTTCCTTGATTACTTACTGTTGGGCAGCTTGAGAGGGGATAAATGTGTTGTTTCCGGTCCTCGCTGTTTTCCAAGCAAGCCATATTTAAGAACGATATTCTAGGAAAATAAACCCGAGTTTAGTGATTGTTGAGATGCAGTCTAATATCCTTGATAACAATTTCATTGGGATCGATTGATATAAAACGATAAAGTTTAGTTATTGTGATTGATTAAGGGGTGTGTATGGGTGGGGTGCACTCAAATTTTCTAACATTTAATCTAAATCCCCTCAAGCCAAGTTGCCACAGCCGGTCGGAAGGAAAGGACAAGAAAATGTTTCTAGTCATCCAGGAAACAAAGAAAATAATTAGAGAAGACATCGTTCAACTACTTTAACTCCAATCACCGTTTTCAGGTCCTTCAGGAGAAGAAAAAGCAATTAAACTGTAACATTTGACTCTAGATCAGATTTACACAAAGCTTGGGGTCATTCCTGACAGAACGACGTAGAACTTTACTGAAAACAGACAGAAGCAACTCGAAGTTTATCCAAGGTCGCGCGAGAAAAAAAAAAATGAGTCTGGAAGACTTCCTAAAACGTTGAAAGTAAGAGAGAGATGATTGTCGGGCAATCTGGAATCGGCAAGACATTATGTAGTACCAACCTTCTCAGAGACTGGGCATTTGATAAAGTTTTTAAACCAAAAAAAGCCATTTTAGGGCTGCTTTCTTCATATAATTTCGGAAATTTAACTCGGCCAGTGACCTTAGTCCCAGGTAACTACTGATTCAGTCCGGCTATTTCCTCTCAGATCACTTGGATGGTGAGATTTGGAAACATTATCTTGTAGCACCCCGAAGCCTGCGTACTCATACTTTTTGACGGATTCGACGAATTCATACATCATAGCGCAAACATCGCCAAGGCGTCGCTTCGTCCTAGAAGCATTGAACAGAAAATGCCGCTCCAAATATTTTATCACTGGCTTGCGTCCGGAAAACTTCTTAAAGATGCTTTAATTTTGACCACTACTACCTACGGCTTTGTCAAGCATCACAGACCTTCTTATCGACAGATGCAAAACCTATGAAGTTCTTGGATTTTCATTCGAACAAATTGAAGAATATGACTACAAATTCACAGGAGAAGACAAGCTAACAGGGTAAACACTATAGCGACACATCAGCAGCAACGTGAACTTAGTATCCCTTTGTTACCTCCTTGTGAGCAGCTTCATCATAAAATTATGCGCAAGTCTGTTTCAAATTTTGCAGTTCGATAATTCTGCTGGTGTAAGCCTTCCTTCCAATTTAACAGAGATTTACAAGTGTTTCCTTAACCGGAACTGGTCAGCTCAGACGACCACCGCAAACCGTATAATATTAATCCAAGCTTTTAATAATTATTCGATCTAAAAGAGATACATTTGTAATTCGAAATCAGAAAAACGCAAATAAAGTCTTAATCTCGTAGCAAAATTCAAGTAAAACGTGATTGGAAACTTACTTCTGTGGCGGGTCGCAAAAAGAGGTTTCTCTCTTCAGGTTAGCAGATTCAGGTTTCGCTTGTCTAATAT